AAATTGAAGTGCTGTCAAACATTTCTTATGACCTTGACCGGAGTCGATGTCCCTTCCGTCTTCCAATCGAATTCGGACTCAGATTCCGAGGGCAAAAAAAGATCACGGGATGCCGAACGGAGCCCATCTGAATATCATGACGTCTTGACGGCGAGCATGCGCTCTGCGGCTTCTAGCTCGGCCCTAGGCCGGTCAATAGCGAGTGCTGCACAGTCTAAAGAGACCCCAAGACGCTTGAGCGGGCGCATCAAAGACAACTTAAAAATTGAGTTATGTGGGAATGCTTAGAAAACTCCGTACGAGGCTTATTTTTTCTAGATTTAAAATTTTCTTAGTTTATCGCCTGGAATAGAGCGCTACCTACTCTAATACCGAAAATAACGTCAGATTACAATAGATAGTGCACTACATAGAGCGCTATATCCTCTATAACAGAAAACCCCGTCTGTAACAGAAACTCCCGTCTGGTCAATGTCGTCAATCCAATGCACAGAGCAATACCTGCTCTTTCACTGAAAATAACGTCAGCTTATTATGGTCAGCAATACAAAACCACATGTAACGACCTTATTACTGCAAACATTGTCAGCTCCTAGCTGACAATATAAAACAATAGAGCGCAAATAATTTAATTTCATAGAAAGCATCTGTCGATACTACAAAGAAGCCCCTTGAGTATAATTGATCCCCCTTAATATAAAATAGCCTTTCTGCTCATAGAAAAAAGTATTTCCTTGGTGAGTGGTGTGTATGATATGCTTTTGGATTGTCAGTACGAGGCTCACGATATTGATGACGGCTGTATTGTGGTAGATTGAGGAAAACTTGTCGTCAATCCAGATCGATGACGACGATCCGGCATTCCTGTTGGATAGGCAAGAGGACAACGTGAGCACGTTTGTAGCTGCAACAAACGGCTTGAGCGCGGCGCAAGCGCCTCCATGGCTGCGAACGCCACTAATCACGGCCCGCTCCTTTATAGACGATGTCATCTACAGACTCGAGCCTCCACTGGCAGGAGGCCGCTTCGGGCATATAATGCTGGTGCCTAATAACCATCAGCAGCATACTGCCGCTGCTGCGACGTTGATCACTTTACAGCACGATGAATTCTTGCAGGATGCCATGCGGTTGGCCCTCCTGACCCTTCCAGTCGTCAAAAATGTTGTGCGATACTTCGCCTTCACGGCTCACCTTGCCGACTCAAGAGTGCAGAAAGTGCGACTGAATAATCTGCCGCCGAGTCCCCGCAATGGACGACCTATGCGTCAGCTCTTCATTTGATGTACTTTCATCTATGCGCCTACCGACTTCACAGCGCTTGTGATCCGCGTAGTCGCATCGTGCGTCAGCAGGAATGTGAGCGAGATAGCACCTAGTAAGTTAATTGTAGTTGATGTCGTGCGTCCAATGTTCGGATAGTGACGTGTTCGCACTGGGCTTCATTTTCAGAAATACACATTTTGACCCCAAAACCGTATTTAACTAAGCTACTAAGGCTTTAACCCTGTCCTTACCAAAATGGTACAAACGGTAGTATTTTGCAAAAGAAGGTGAATGCCCATCCCAGCTGTTACTGAAACTAAGTTGTTTTCTTCAACCCTACCGCAATCTAGTACTCTGCAACTCAGCGAGCTAGATCTTAATCCAGCCAATCGCGAGTGAATAAAGGTCAACAAAGAAACCAAACTATTGCCTCGGTTTCATTGTACCTTTAAGGTCCATAGCACCCCGGCTATGCAGTCTATCGGCGCTTTCTCTCCCGGGTCTATTCTTTGTTGTCTTTGCTTAGTTTGCTTCCCCTCGGCTCAGGTAAGACAGTATACGTGCTTGTGGTCCGTGAGCACAATTCCCGCGCTCAAATCCCCGGTAAATCCTTCTACCACGTCATAGTTTAAGTGCCCCAAGGTCCGATGGAACTTCACTAACGTTCCGTGCTACACGACTTGTGACTGTGCCGCCGGTGCGTCCACTCCTTCCGACAGCATCGCCATAATCGCACCCGACACGGGTTCCTGGCGCCGCCCCACCGCGCCGAGGATATATACCTCTGGACTCCCAACGAAGAAGCCCAGACGCCCCAACGAAGTTCCTTCACGCTGATTGGCTAGATTTCCATAGGTTTCACTGTTATTTTTAGGGTGGAACGAAGGTGCTACTCTGGCAAGAAAGCAGTCGAGCAAAAGCGTTCCCTGACAACAAGCTGCCGGCATGCCAATTGACTTAGTCGGTGATTATGGGTATTCGGAGGTTGTTCTACATGCCATTTTTCCGTCTGCAGATGTGGGTGGGAAATTTGTATCTGCTTTTGCATCTAATTCCAACAAGAGTGTACGCCTCGCGGTAAACAACGGCAACTACAGGCGATGGGCGTGCACGGCACTAGAATGTAAGTGGTTTGTATCGCTCGCACGCAAACGCATTAGGAAGGACCCAAAGAGTACCCGTAAGAGACCTGAGACTTCGCTGATCCACGTCCCGGACAATAGCTGGTATATTTCGAAGATGGATTTGACCCACATGCAGTGCTGCCCCAGTACCGCCAACCCGACTGGAGACCAAATTGCCCGCATGCCTGCTTTCCGTGCTGGCATTGTTGAGGGTCACAATACCTCCAAAGCGCGAACTATTAATAATTTGAAGCAGGTGGAAGGTGTGGACGTATCTAGGAAACATTCCGTGCTACATCGTGTAATTAGTGACGCATTGAAGAACATGGAGAGTGATGATATTAATGAATTCCAAGCGCTACCAGCTTACATGGAATTGTTCGCGTCCCAAAATCCAGGATCGAGAGTGTGCTGCCAATTAGATAGTTTTGGTAGATTTTTTCGCAGCTTTCTTTGTGGTTCGCATTCAAGATTCACTACTTCCTGTTTGGGAGTGCGATGGCACTCACATCAAGCACCCCCGCTACAATGGAATTTGTGTTACCTTAGTTGGCAAAGACGGTAACAAGAAGATTATTTCAGTAGCAGCTGCTTTTATTCACAAAGAAACCATTGACAACTTCGTCTGGTTTTTCTCAAACTGTATTGCTGCTGGAATCGCTATGCTTGATCGACCTACGTTCGTAGATCGAGGTAAGCAACTGTCTGCACAAGCTGTTCTGGCTCGCGTGGGTCTGCGGGTAAATCTAAAGTTCTGCGCGGTTCATATCCGCTTCAATACTGTCGACAAGTTTAAATCTGTGCAGGTTACTAAAGACAGTGTCAACAAACTCATCATGCAATTGCAAAAGTCCACCACTGTTCGAGCATTCGAGCAAAACGTTGCTGCCATAGAAAAAGCATTTTCTACCGGTGTTGTTAGTGGTTCAGGCGGGCAACGGAAAGAGGAGCATGTTTGGTCGTACCTGCGTAGCATACATCCGATCAATTGGACTGTAATTGGTAACAGTACATTGAGTGCTGATGAACTCAATTGGCTAGAACAAAACTGGACAAACGCACCTGTATATGGCACCGCTACACCGTTGTTTGGCGTTCGGTCTACTAGCGGCGTGGAAGGCGACAACAACGGACTGTTATGGAATCGCACTCGTAATAATCTGGGGTTTCGGCCACTGCGTGCATACTGCTTGCGCGCTCTCGATACCCGCAACAAACTGTTTGCAATAGCACGAATATGGATCAAATCAAATCACGGTCTCACATCTCATGCGATGACACTTTTTTAATAAGGAAGAGAAACTCGTTACAGAACTCACCGTCGTTCACGCGAAGCTGTCGGAGTTTTACGTCTTCAACCCCATTTGACCGATCAGACGTAGCATCTGCAACAAAGATGTACAAAGTAGATATGAGCTCAGGTAAGTGCGAGTCGTGCAGAGTGTGGGAGCAGCTTCACATACCCTGCCGTCACGTACAAGCTGTCTTGATCGAATTAGAGCGGCAAAACTCTGGGGCAGTGCCTTATATCGCACCTACGAATATTTTCATCAGGCATATTTGGTTAGAACAATCCACGCAGCTCTAGCCGAGATGGACATCAACTTACCAGTCGACAATATTTTAAGCGCAGGACCTACTGTTCTCCCAGCTCCAATTTATCGTCAAGCTGGAGGGGCCCGCAAAAAGCGGAATGCAGACATTCAGCATGGCGAAAAACGGATCCGTAGCAGGGGCGAGGAGTCTGGTCCATCTCGATCTAAAGCAAAGCTGGATACACCGAACGAGATGCGACCGTCTCAATTAAACGAGCATGACGACACGCCTTTTATACAGGCGTTTTATAAGTCTCAGCTATCTGCAGCACAGCCACAGCAGCGGCCCACATATCATTGCAGTCGGTGTGGGCTAGATGGGCACAATATAACTACTTGCACGTACACCGGGCAAGAAGAAGAGGGAGAAGACTCCATCTCCCCGGACGTGTATGTGCTTGGGATTCCACCGTTAGTCAGCCGCGGCGCTGTTCATCCAACACAGGAAGCTGAAGAACTTTAATTCTAGCACGCATCTATCACGAGTAGTTAGCAAGATCACTCCGAGTGGCTAGCAGAATCTAAATGACAACTTACACGCTTTAGTTATGCTTCATACCTCGCGAGATTTCGTTTTGCATCAGTTTACCTGTAGCGTGCGAGCAAAAGCATTTTAGTTTTTAGCACCTCTTCGGCATCTTCACTAGCACATAAACTTTAAAGACTCACCACGTGATGGCGCGCTGCATCCCGACGAGGTGCGAGATCCTCGTAGTGCAGCACCTGCTTGACTGTAAATGACCTCACCGAGTCATGAATTTGTTAGCCAATCAGCGTGAAGGAACTTCGTTGGGGCGTCTGGACTTCTTCGTTGGGGAGTCCAGAGGTATATATCCTGCACCACACACCTTCACACGGAGCCCTAATGAGCCCTTCTTGATCTCAACCAGCGCCACTCTGGTCGGTTGCCCCAACATGTCCTCGCAATAAGCTTCCTCGTCCAACCACTACTGGGTACCTGCTGGACCCACTGGCTAGGATCCAGGTCTCCTCCAACGCACTCGTCGATTCGTTCACGGTCAACATAAAGTTATGCTCGCGATCGGAGCAATTAGCCGGCAGATGTCCGACGGCGCCGCACTCATGGCTCAGCCTTATCTCTTCCCTTGGTGCGTCAGATACGACCGCGACGAACACTCTGCCCCATTTCCTGTGTTGTGGCGCGTCGAGCTCCCACGATCGCACCAACTGGACCAGCACTTCCGCCTGCGCGAGGTAAACCGCTCTGCTGGCGTCCACCTTCGCCATGAGGACGACAAACTTCTCGACAGCGTACTGAACAGTATTATTCAGTAGCTGGTAGTCCGCAATTCAGCCGCACACATCAAAACTCGAATGAGGTACATGCTACTTTCGGACCAGCTACACCAGACGTTCTTCGCCACAGTGAATAATCGCATCGCTTGGGCTGGAGTAATGTTCGTCTTGAGCGGTTCAAGCATTCGCTCCATGATGTACGGCAGGATCGGGAGCTACGCCCACCACAGCTCGCCTGGCTAGTGATAGTAGCACTCAGTCATTGCTAAGAGGCAGCGCTCCAGCCGGTCGTTCCTGACGTCGTCGAGCCACAGAAAAACACACGCAGATTGAACAATGTTAACTTCTATCTTGAAACGACGTCCCCATTCGAAGAACCCGGGCCGTAGGCCCACGTAGTACCAAAAAGAGCTCTACGTGACGTAGAGCGCTTTTTTGTCGAATGGACACATTGCGAGCATTTATGTCGCGCATCTGGATACTGCACGATCATACTTACTTGTTTCTGCGCTGAAATACCACCTCCTCATCCTCGCAAATCAGCCTCTTTTGGTCGTTGGACCACAATTCCAAGTACAGGTCGTTGTCCGGCTTGTGCTCCCGGGAATAGTCTCTGACGGTCGGAAAGCAGCATATTCTTACCGCGAGGTTGATAATCAAAGTAGCTCGGTGGCGGTGCTGGTCTCCGCGGCGTGGCAGCGGGTGGTGTCTGGAGAGTCATCAAGCGAGTCAATGTGAATTCTTGCTCCCCGGCCGAGCCTTGATGCAAATAATCTTGAGTCAGACGGGCTCATGGACATCTTTATGTTGTGTCCTTGATGTCACTCGACGCGGACCTTCGTTTCCAACTTGGTTTGCGACTCTTCAAGTCGGCTGAGCTTTCCGGTTATGCCACACATCAGTGTCAGGAGCTCATTTACTTCGTCAGTTCGGACGGGTGGTGTTTTCCCGTCAGTGTTAATGCCATTCCACTTTCGCGAGTCATAGCGGTATCATCTCTCCTCTCGCGCGATATGGTTGTGATCTTGCCTTCTTTGCCATCTGCCATTCCGATCCTTTCGCGATCGGTGGCGAGTCCAATAGCAGCGCCGCCATTCTCGGATTCGTCAGAGATGCCGTTCATTTTTCGCAACACCATGGCGCATATATTTAGCAGTGGTGGATGGTTTAAACAGCACGAATGAAATTTATAAGTTTATCAATTTTTTAGGTCCTAAGGCCATCTCCACCGCGTGGCAGCAACAACGTGTAATATAACCTATATGTGACCAGTTGCTGCCGGTAGCAAAAACGCTGAGTTCCACCGCGTAGAAGCAAATTGGCGCCTCTTCGGCTCAAGATTCAATCTGCCCCCCCCCCCCCATCCGCCATGGAGTCGGGTGATGAGGAGCTGGAGAGATGCGCTAGTGACGGGGAAGACGAGGTGAGCTCGTGTCCGCCTTTACTTATCCACTATAGTGTTAACGCTTGTTCTGTACGTTATACTATATGTATTGATACTTCTTACTCTCGCGCAGCGGATAGCGCCAATAAAGCGCAAGCGGGGAGGCTCTGTGCCAGGAAAAGCTGCGAACATCCAGCCTGACTTTGACGAGGCTCACAACAAGCTGTGGAAACTGTACTTCGCAGAGAATCCACGCTTCTCTGCAAAGTACTTCCGGCGTCGGTATCGAATGCGACGATCGCTCTTCATTCGCATCATGAATGCTGTTGTCGCCAGAGATTATCATTTTCGCCAGCTACAAGACGCATTAGGGAACAAGGGTATGTCTTCTCTGCAAAAGTGCACGGTGGCGATGAGAATGCTTGCCTACGGATGCATTGCGAGTGCTTGATCTTCACCACTTATCCAGTTTGGCCCACGCGTGCCAGGCTTGGACGTCATAGTCTTCGTGTGCCGCAATGCAAATATTTGAGAGGCGCGAATATTGTCTGGACGAAGTGCACAGAAATCCGAAAATTTTCATAGTTTATCTACGACACTTCATTGGGACAATCTTTTTGCTGCTGGGGAGCAAAAGTCAGAGCAAATCGGCTCGTTTTGCTCCCGCGAAAGCTGCTCATTTGCTGCTGGAGCTATTCTGCTCCCGCGGTGGAGCGAGACCGCGGTAATTTATTTTTAGTTTTCTGCCACAGCAGCATTTTGCTCCCGCGATGGAGACGCCCTAAATGATATATTTTGAAACACCTATTTTGAATTGAGCCTTTTTGTTTTGATAATTCGCTGAGCTAATATATTACCAGGTTTTATTTCAGGATGCTAGCTCTGATATAAATTTCAGGGAGTTGTACGTCCAAAAATACTCTTGAATGAACCCAGCCTATGCTTTCATTGCGTTGGACACTTGCACCCGCACTCGGCCAATGACATCGGCTGTCTTATGTCGATTGGTTCATGACACGATATGACTATTTAGTGTAATCAATGGCTATCGTATTACTAAAGCGAAGGTTACCTTTTTCCGTTTAATAAAAAAACCACATCTTATCACGACATAAAGGTATTGTACATGTACTGTATCAGTACTATACCTTTATAGAAATATAACATTCCTGTTTAGAAGATCACAGCTTCAACCACAGTCTTTGCCATAACCCAATGATGGCCAGCTCCGAGCACGCGCTCGAGGCTCTACCTCCTGGCTCTACCGACCCCTCTGCAAACCCACATCGCCCACGCTTCTCCTGGTCCGTCTTCTGGTCGTACACTGGCCCCGGTTGGCTCATGAGTATGGCCTACTTGGACCCTGGAAACCTCGAAGCAGATCTACAAAGTGGCCTACACACGCTACCAATTGCTCTACGTTGTTCTACTCAGCACCATGTTCGGAGGCCTCTACCAGATCTTAGCTGCCAGATTGGGGGCCTGTACCGGTCGTCACTTGGCTCAATTATGTCGCTCCGAGTATCCACCACTCGTCTCTTTCGGACTCTGGATCATGACGGAGCTTGCCATCATCGGCAGCGACATCCAGGAGGTACTGGGATCGGCTGTAGCCTTCAAGCTTCTATTTGGGTTACCTCTATGGCTCGGTTGTCTGCTTACAGGACTCGATACCTTCACCTTCCTGGCCCTACACCGAGCGGGAGACTCCAAAACTCGATATCTCGAGATGTTCTTCTTGCTGCTCATCGCCACCATGTGCGTCTGCTTCTTTGCCGACTTCAGCATGAGTGATCCTGACGGAATAGAGATAATAAATGGGATAGTGGAACCCAGAATGGACAAACAGAACACCATGCAGGCGGTAGCGATGCTGGGGGCCATCATCATGCCACATAATATTTTTCTTCACTCAGCATTGGTCCAAGAGAGGCAAATTAATAGGAGATCTCCTACAAAAGTAAAGGAAGCCAACTACTATTTCGGATTGGAAGCAGTCATGGCGCTGTTCGTCAGCTTCTTAATCAACGCGGCGGTGGTTTGTGCCTTTGCCAGCAGCTTCTTCAGCAGCCAGTGTTATGCGCTGAGTAGTAATCCTATTTCGAGTTTGTATGGGAGAGATATCCAGACGTCGTGTATTCCAGCAAAGGCAGCGTTGAGCTCGGGGAGTACGATTTACGATGCTTTTACGGGCAATATCTGTGTCTTTGGTGGCGAGAGTGTGTTTAATGAGGATATGACCGCGGACATTATCAACACGGTGACAAAATGCACACCGTGTTACGTGGATGGACGTGGAGATAGGTTTGATACGGTATCGTTTGGGTCGGGGCCGACAGCTGGATATTGCCAAGAGATTGGTCTAGCACAGGCTGGCGAGGCAGTACGTGAAGCACTTGGTGGGTATGCTAAGGTAGTGTGGGCCATTGGCTTACTTGTATCAGGTCAGGCCTCGACCATGACAGGTACTTACGCTGGTCAGTTCGTCATGGAGGGATTTTTGGATATCCGGATTGCAGCTTGGAAGCGTGTGGCGCTTACGCGAGGAGTGGCATTGATCCCAGCGATTCTCGTGGCGCTTATCAGTCAAGATCGACAATTCCAGAGCGACCGCTTTAACGAGCTCCTTAATGTACTCCAGAGTGTTCAGTTGCTTTTCGCACTTCTGCCGTTGCTCGCATTTACCACAAGCACGAGGCTGATGGGGCCACTTTTTGTAAATAATAGGTGGATTGGAGCTCTACTCGTCGTGGGCACGGCGTTGCTTTGTGGCGTGAATTACACGCTCGTCTACGATATTCTCATCAAGAACCTCCCGGAAAAGTTATCAACGGCAGCTTGGATTGGTCTGGTCGTCGTGGCTGGGTTATATATGACGCTGCTGCTGTACTTGCTGCTAGTGTACCCGTCCGAAACAGTCCCACCACACTATGTAGTCATTCCGTCTGCAGTGGACTCTGAAGTCCTTTCTGAAGAAAAATGCAAGTCTACATTTATTGCTGAGGAACGCGTACCGGAGGATGAAGGTGTCGTAAGATGCAAGGACAGCGAAGCTGATGATACGGTTAATAATAAAATATCATCTTATAAGTCAAATTCTCGTTGATGGTTTCCCCCTTCAGTAATCTAGTCTCGATCACGTACAAGCGCTAGATCTCGAGCTCGCAGCTCTTGCTCCCATCTACATATTGCAACATAACAGTTAAAATACAAAGTATACTTAAAAAATAATGATCCGTACTCTTGGTAGCAGGTTTCATAGTACTTTTGGGGTCGCGATTGTCGGATCTTGAGTACCTCTTTGTCCAACAACTCTCGCTCTTCATCAAGACTACTTAGATCCCACATTTAAAGGCGTAAACTCTACTCGCGAAATTAAGTAAATAAAGTAATCCTTAGAGCTCACTTGAAAAAGAGCGCCCAGCTCACAACTTCGATTCACATCGCTGAATCGACCACGACTAGGTATTGACGTCGCTAACCCACCACACCACTACCCGCCCCCGTTTCAATCACAATGATCACCTTCGGGGCACCACGCTCGGCATCGGATCTATGCACCCACTCAATACTCCCAGTTTGGCAGTCAATTTTCATGCAATCAACGTCAGGAACAGTCCATGCTTGAGCATCAACTAGCTGTGGCAAGAATAACATCGCGATCTTCCAGCTCCACTTCTGATCAAGACCTGCTACGATTCCTTTCAGCACGTCCACGTTAACGTTTTCCCCACGATTCTTGCATTCGCAAAGAATCATCGCGCGTTCTTTGCTGTTGTTTAGATCATCCAGCAAAAATTCACAGCTATCTGAATTCAGAGAGCGAATTAAATGACCAAACTTACATCCCTCACGTTCATTCATGTTGACTATGGGTTGCGGCCACTCAGCATTCGGCGGGGCTAAGAAAGGCATCGTCCTCATGGACAAACTCTGAATGCTCCTGTCATAGTTTGCAAGCAAACCCGTAGCACGACAATCCGCTCCATTTGTATCTTTCAACTTCGTCTTTTCCCAAATTTTGTCGTGAAATTCGCCAACCAAGCACTCCAGAAAATCACTGAAAGGAATTCCCTGCACACCATGTCTTCGTGACGAACAAAACAGCGCATGAGCGACCATGTTCTCGTACGTTTTGTACTCGGTCAAAGCGGCATCTTTACTTTCAGGAGCCGGATATGCGCCAGTGTCAGAAAAAACAGATTTGGTAGAATGTGCCACGCCCCCATTGGTATGTTGATAGTATCCCGAATGTGCCTTTCCGCCGAGAATCGCAAGATACAGCAACAAATCTTCGTCCATAAGCGGATAGCAACATTGTGGTGTCCATAGTACCAACGGTCCGGTTCTATCCGGTTCCGTATTCAACTCACCGTTCGACATTATGACATCCGTGACCTTTTCATCCACCAAATTCGCGAAATGCAGATGCATATTCTCGGCCCCGACGACCAATCTTTTGTTTTTCGGTTGCATTCCCTTCGCCCCAACATGTAGTCTTTGTTTTTTCGAAGGCAGTTCCCCATTATTTTTGCTAGCGTTCGAGATAGATATCGCCATCAGTTGCGCATACCTTCCGTACTCTGAATCCATAAACTTCGTCCCAAATTGTGTCGTCGTACTAACAGCGGCAAATGCTTCGTCTAGCAAATTCCAGAGCTTGACACGCGAGGAGTGCCAGGGCTTGGATCGATGCCAGATAATGTCGTAGAGCCAACCTGGAGCATGGCCCAGCCCGTAATGTCATCACCTGCACGGTTTTGCGGCTTCTACGAACTTCTTGAAAAAAACCCTCGAAAATCTCCCACGCGAATTCATCGCAACTATATTGCCACAACCGGGAACCGAGCCACAACGGCCTCCCAGACCTCTTGATCTTGCTGACTGTCCGAATCGAATACAAATTGATAAGGAGGAAACTTGGAGACAATAGACATCCACATGAACTTTCCTGTGGCACTGCTAGTCGCTGGAGACGCCAGACTGCTTATTTTGGGATCCTTTCCCATAACAATCACCAGCAAGCCACACGCGCGGAAGATATTGCGTTGAAACGCCATTACATTCTTCGCTTTGACGTTAAGAGTCACGTCATCCAATATGAAAAAGGGCATCAATTTTCCCTTTCCCTCCATCTTCTTAATCTCGCGACGGACATCATGCACAGCGCACATTTTTACGCGGAATTCGGTTTTGTGCTCGAAGCGTATCATTTGTGCGCTCTGATGCTGGGAATACTCCAGCAAGCACGAAATAAAACCACACGTCCACAGGTCCATAGTCTGGTAAATTCCTGATTGGCAGTTCACAATGTCCTCCATCGGCTTGGCAACTGGATCATCCATTTCCACAACCTTGCGAAATGCCGCTGATATCGACTCGAAATTCCTGTACATCGTCTGTGACCCGTCAGTTATCTCGTTGGCAAACCAGTAAAACCACGGTCGGGAGCCCTGCAACGCGAAGGCAAGCTGCGATTTCCCCATGCCAGACGACCCTTCTACGCAAATAAACGGAAGCGGAAGATCACCCGTGTCATAGATAGCGTCGATTTTGTCCAGCACTTCACAGCAATAATTGCTGCGTTCTTTACGAATGCGAACGCCGCACTTTTGATAGTAGTCCAGCTCTTTCATAGGATTTTCTTCATTGCCTTCTAGGATGACGATCGCGACCGTGCTCACGAAGAGACCCGGAACCACCACTAGCACGTGGAGTTGGTCAGCGGATGGCTGGGGCATCTTGTTTTTGTCAAGCACCCACTGCAAAGTCTTCGAGGCCTTCATCTGCTTTCCATCGATCAGCGTTTGAATGACCTGGTTGATCTTTCCTTCCTCAAGCTCCAGAACAGCTTCACTTTCGTCAGACAACCACTCGTCATCCGTCGTCTTCGCCAGGAAAAGCTGCAGTTTGTCTGCATCGACATTTTTGAAGTCGTTCGGCATATTCTCCTTAATTGCTATCTTCAAATGGCCTACCAATTTGTTCTCATCGATATCGACAGAGAAGGCGCCTCCCCCTTCACCGACAACATTACAAATTAAGGACACCATCTTCCCTCGAGTTGGCGAATTATGGAATGAGGGATGAAGAGATTTTTTTTTAGTGAAAACGAAGGCGTGTCACATAGACAGGTGGGTCACCACTGGTCTCAGAAGGTGGTCTCAGACGCCCCAAAAATTTGGTCCAGTCCAAAACGGTCACAAATTGTCACAAATCGTGACATATCGTATGCTGAAGTAGCGGTGTATGATTGGTCATAAAAATGAAATTGAACGCGTTTAATTTCTTCGTATTATAGTTCGTTTGACAGACGTTGACTCGGTGCTGCAGACCGTCGCTTTAGAAGGAGAGCAAGAACATCGCACGACTCTGCTGCCCAAGTTAGCGGAGAGAAGCCACAAATACCCGGCAGGGCGGCAGGAAGGTTGCCATTTTCAGCTCTGAAAATGACGGTCCTAATTGCTGGAGCTAAGACACGAGTTTTTAGCTTAATTTGCCTCGCATAAGTGAGAAGAACAGAAATGATGGAAGCTTACTATTTTCTAGTTATTGATGTTGTCTGTTTGCTTTACGAGTAAGGGTGGATGGCAGTTGGGTCGTAGCTCTGCTGCTTTAGAGGCTTTTATGCCATTATTATTGATGCTAGGTTTTGCCATATTAAGGTTGCGCTAGTCAAAGTTCTTCTAGTTGCGTGTACAATATAACTGTCAGCGTGTTTTCGCCAGTCTTGCGCTCTGATGTGGTAATTGTTGCTTCAGCCGTTTTGAGGCCTGAAGGCTAAAGGTAATTCCAAACATCCTTTGAGCTGATGCTAAATGGTCTTCTATTTACCTGTTAAAGTCATCAGAAAACAAAAGCACATTACAGATCTTAGAGCGAAGCCTTATCACGTAAAACGCTTAAAATGATGTTATTCTCAAGTGTCGTGGGATGGAGTTAACTTTGCATTGTAAAGTGCTGCAAGTTAGTATGAAGAGGCTACCATTGTAAATCATAGGAATCTTGAAAATGCAAGAGGCTTTCAAAACAGTTTTGATGAGTTATGGATGTGAATTTATCATCGGACGTGACCTGTTGACTTCTTTAGGTATTGATATGGACCGTCAATTGGAGCAACTTGCCTCTCACGTGGATGATGAAACGAGTGGAGACCCTTTCGAGTTGAAAGTTGACGAACCCCCTGCAAACTCCAGCCACGTGGCCAGTGACGAAGGAGTACGTGCTGTCGTTGAGGTTCAAATTGAAAGGACCTGAAGAATAGATTTCCACCTGACAAAGCGAATAAATTGCGAGTGATTGTGCACATGTATGATGTGTGGCGCTTAACCCTTCTAGCCCCTCTGTTTATGCTGTATCATACAGCAAAAGAAATAAGCTTTCCTATAGTATGACGGCGTACCTGTGTGAAGTTTATCTGTTTGTAGCCCCCTTCTAGCAACCGAGCCGGATTCTAGTACAATTTATGATGCTACCAGTAAATGCAAGAGTCGTAATTGGGTAGATTGATGGATACATTTTGTGCAAAATCGTGAAAAATGTCTGTAGCACTCGTTACCCTATCACACTCGATGTACGGAAGTCGTCGTGGCGATTCGCGCCAAAACTGGTGGCGTGGAGAGCGCTGCAGCTACCCCGCACTTTCCGCGGAGAAAACTTTTGCCCATTTGTCAAGCAAAGACTTTTGTAAACAACAAATGGGCAAAGTTTCCTCCACATTAGATCAGAGGTGAGCTACTCGTCATCTACTTCCTGCAGCTTTCTTTTCCTGAATCTTATTTTCTTTCTCATGTCCGGTGGGATGATGGTGCCATTCTTCCAGGTGATATGCCATGTCTGATGGCACGTGTCGGTGTTGCCTCGCTCCTCTCTGCGAACCTTGTTGCAAAGAGCCACGCGACCCCCAAAGGTAAGCGAGCATTCTTCACGAGAGTACGGCGTCTCGAAGCTGCGATGTTCCTTGTCGGAATAGGCCGAACATACTTTGCATAAATACTGACGGACTTTGTTCTTGTAGGTTTCCGCAGTTTTTGTCAGCACGTGCGGTTGTCCTGCCAGTGGGGTAGAAAGTAAGTTTTGGGCGTGCATGTTGCCTTGAAAGTCCACCTTTTGCTGCGCAAGCAGCTCCACGTGTAGCCGCGCCAAATAGTCAGCATGGGTGGGAACAGGTTTGCCTTGCTCTTTCATCACTAACTTGTGGATAATGAACCCATTGACTAATGCCATGTCAACGATACCGAAAAACAGGTTATTGTAGTAGGA